GGGGTGCCCCTTCGGGGCGCCCCCCCTGCCGCTGTTTGGTGGACACCATCCTCCTGGCTTGGCAGAGCCCTGGGTTGTGGTCCCAGCTGGGCCCCTGGTGCCAGCCATGGAGGAAGGGTCTGTGCGTGGGGTGGGTGAGTGGGGATGTTCCTTCCTTGTGCTGGAGCCTGGGTGCTCCTTTCCTGCCACAGGCCTCTCGCTGTTCCACGGGCCTGAACAGTGAGCACGACGTGGCCCTGCCCTGCATCGGGAGGCTGGTGGCAGGTAAAGGAGGGGGGGGCAGGTGGGGCACCTAACCAAACTGCATGTGATGAGTTTGGCAGCTCTCAGCCCCTGTGGCTCATCGCCTACGGCCCAGCACCCAACCCCGTGGCAGGTGCCAGGATCCCTTCGCTGGCCTTCCCAGGGGCAGAAGGGCCACGGACGGCAGGAGCCGTGGGGTCCCGACTGCCCCCTGTTCGGGGCTGTGGCAATCGGCGGGAGGCGGCAGGGCCCTTGCTGCAGTTTGCTGGGCTGCTCTGGGGGGGAGCCACAGGTCCTCAGTGTGCCCCGTGGCCAGCTACCCCTCCCCCCACCAGAAATGACCTCGGAGCGTCACCCCCACGCTGTAGGCTGCTCCCTGCCTGCTACCCCCAGGCTCTGCTTGTTGCCTGGTCTCCTGGGTCTAATCCCCTCTCCCGGCCTGGTTTCCACACACCCCCTCCCCCCCCTGCAGTGAGCGGCTTCACCAAGGCCAAGGTGCTGACGGCCAGCTCCACCCTCAAGTTCATCCCGGAGCAGCTGGTCCTCTACTGCCGGGACTTCCGGGTGCTGCGGTTCCGCTTCCCCGACAGCGGCGTGGAGCCTGGGGCCTTTCAGGTGAGCGTCTGCCATGGCAGGCAGGGGCATGTGCCCCGCAGGGCCGCCCCCGCCCTGGGCTGGGGCAGAGCCTAGGCCCCCCCCCAGGGCGGGTGGTTCTGTGTGTCCCCAGCGTGGGAGGGTGGGGTCGTGTTCCCCCTCAGGCAGTGGGGGCTAGCAGAGTAACACAGGGACCGGTTGCTCAATCCCTAGCTCCGGGAGGGGACTGGGGCGAGGGGAGGCGAGGTCCTATCTGGGCTCCGCCCCGGACTCCTGGCAGGGGTGTCCATGCAGCTCCATGCGAGTAGAGACTTGTGCGAGCCATGCTGGAGCGCACGTGCTAAAGATAGCAAGGAAGGCCGGCTGGCCGGGGTGGGGCTCCGAGGGGGGGCTGGGAGCTGGTGGCTGGCTGGCACG